GGTGCTGGATTGATTCACCAGTACCAAAAACCAAATTATTAGCTGTTCTTGTAGAAAGTGGTACTACATACATTTGTGATCAATGTATTCTTGATAGTTTTAAAATAGTTGAATTTCTTTCCCTGCTATCAAGGTAGAAATATTGAAAAGTGGTGACAGTGTAATCTAAGGCAGCTGCTACTACTAAACATGGGTATATCATTTAAAACTAAAACAAACTAACAAATCTAAAACTAAAAAGTCAGCTTCTGAGTCATGCTAGAAACACTTAAATCTTCATAAGGTGTCTGAAATAGGTGGTGACTCTATTTAACAGAGCTTCAGATGTATTTCTAACATAACAGAAAATATTATTTGATCAACTTAGCATATAGCATTTGTTTGGGATAAATACTACAGTGATATTTATTTGAAAACTGAACAAAATCTCAATGAGCAAGAAACATTCCATTATTTAGAATTGGTTAGAAACACTAAAAAATTCTAAATATATATATTATATTTTTATATTTTTGAGGCAGACTATAAATAATTAGGCTCAAATAAATATAGAATAGACATTGACCTTAAATTAGTAGCAGCCTAAGTCAATCATGCAATTATGTTTTATTGTATAAATTTAGGAAATTTTATTTTCAACTGTGAAAATAACAATGATGTCATAATTCAATTCCATATACTATAAATTTCAATAGAGTTTTAAAACTCTTCTCATACTAACTTTAAAGTATACTAACTTTACTGTAGTTCTCTGAGGAGCAAAATATCATTTTCATATAAATTCAGCTTCGGCACAAGATGTAACATACATTATTTACATATAGTAATTAGTAAAGTTACATTCACAGATTGATTCAAATGTTTTCAATAGAAGTATTTAATGATTGACAGAGACAATTAGATACTTTTGTTGCTGGAATAGGCCAAGAATTAAATTATATTTTATGAAAAGACTTACAGAGATGATAAACTTGAGCAAAAAAGTAAATGTAATTTTTATTTAAATGACTCATTTTTTAATACTTGGTAGAGATGCAAAAGAAATGTTTCTTGTTTTTGAATGTTTTAAGTTTTTGATTGTGTCTGAATCAAATTTAGGGAAGCATATGAGAAAACATATACTAGTTGTCAAATAAGCACTTGTATAAGTGAGTCCCACAAAATTTTTCGTTGTCTAATAAATGTGATATTTAAAATCATTTTAATAGCCATAGAAAAGCAAACATGCTATGATTAAAATGATACAGAACTCCTCACTTCAAAGGCACACTGGACATGTCAAGGATTTATTGTATTTTTGTTGTTCACTTTATATAAAATAAAATGGCTCTCATGATTCATAGTTTTATTTATAAATTTAATATGTAAAAATATAGAAGTGAGAGCCAAAATACAACCAGGTACCTGTTATAAACTACACTAAAATATTTTAAGAAGGAATTTTACTCAAGAAAACCAATTTACAAGATGCATTCGGAATTCCTTCTCTAGATCTAGCATGTTTAAATCATAAAAGATTTAGTGTAGCAAAAGAGAATACCTTGCATTATCAGTATCACAATAACTAGAATATTTAGATGATAATTTTATTCAAATACATAATTAGTTAATAAATTTAACATTTAAGTATTTGACATAACAAAGAGTTCTTCAAAAATCTAACCTTATCTTTTCATGAAATAAGGTATAAATTATTTTAATGTAGAAAAAATGCAAGATAAAATATAAGGTACATTTTGATTAGCTGTCTATTTTGAATAGTTGAATAGAAATTAATAGCAATGATCCTGTGAAACTTGTTATAATGGAAATAATAAGAAATCTTTCACTATACAAAAAATTGTAAAGATATGTTCCTTCTTTGCTATTTAGAAAATACTCCATTGATATTTAGAAAATGGTCTTTAATGATATTATTATTCAAAGAAAAGAATGTTATTTGATACAGTTGGCCATCCTGTTACATGGAAGAGATACTAAACAACATGCTACTCATAAATAAATTTAAATACATTTTGAAAAGTTTTGTATTTGTAGGTAAATTACTTTTTGAGGATACCTGATATGCATTGATGTAAGTCAATTTCACTAAAAATGTAAATTTGAACTACACTGTACATAGCCCTTAGCATGGATTTAACATTTGTAAAAGTTCATAGACAAACCTTCAGAGGATAGCTTCTCCAACCTATGCCAAAAGCATGTTTACTTCAGACAAAAGCAGTAACTATAGAGATTCAGGCCTTTGAAGGAAAGAGTCTGATTCCTTTCTTCTTCTCTAATAATTTGGAATTTCATGATGGCACTGTACAGAATCATTTCTATTCGAATAATATAATCCATGTGTTTGTGCTCTGCAATATGATAAAACCTCTGAGATATCAGAGCTAAACGCAAATAATCTTTGTAACTTCTGCATAGTACATGGCATAAATGTACATGAAAATCTTGCTTGGTAAATAGTTACTGAATTAGAAAAGTACTGAAAAGGATGTTTTCACTTAACTGCACACAAATGTTTTATAAACATGATAGGTGCATTATGCATATATCCATATACTTTTACTTTTACTCTAATATATCATATGACAGCAATAATATATAATTATCACAATAGAATCAGGAGTAATATGCCTTATGTAACTTCAAGCTGCATCATTTTTGTGCAAGATTTTTAAGTTTTCATATACTAAAATAAAATACGCAGAATTATTTTAGGTGTTTTTTTCAAAAAGTAACACGTGTAAAAATTTCTGAGATAAACAAAGAGTGTCTCCTCTTCATTTTGTATCTTCTGAAACCGAAGAGCCTCAAATTAACAATACATTATTTCATGGAATTTTGAAAGTTAGCTGCTTAGATATTGAAACATATAAAATTCATATATATATATATATATATATATATACACACATACTTATTTATATGTATTTATTATTGTTGTCCTCAGTATGTCTCTAAATGTTATATTAACCAAAAAGGCTTAGGCAATTTGGATTGTTTCAACTACGAACCTAATCTTTTAAGACCTGATGTTTTGACATGCCTGAGGATCAACATTCCTTGTATTCCTTTCTCTTATCTTGACCTCAGAGAATGCTAATCACTTCTATAAATGGATTAATTTACTCTTCTACCAAAATAATATACTTAGGGTTTTCTTAAGCCTTGAAACATGCTGAGTATTAAACATTATAATTATTCTTTAGTTTGTTCAAAGAAATTAATTGCAGGCTTAGGCTTTCCTCTTTTCAGCATTTTATACGCAGAAGTATGGATACTGTTATTTCTACTGTAAATGAAATTGTAGATTAGATTTGTGTCATATATATCATTTACTTAATAAAAATTTTAATCATTTCTTAATCGAATTCGGACCACATCTATCATGAAAAACAATGGTCTGAAAGAATACAAAACAATTCTGAACAATATAGCTGTGACAAATGATACATGATTGCTTTTTTGAATATTGGTATGATTCAAACAGACAAATGCAGATAAATCTACATGGATATTGCATCTGGTTCATTGACTGGCTTATCATTTTGAAAGTGTCACATGTCAGTAGATATATAAACACTGGTAGAAAATAAAAAAGAAGCATATTTTTTTAAACTGCAGTTGTTTCTAGCTCGCATAAAATAACCATGCAATCATCATGAAACAAACTCTTCTTCATACAAGGTAATTAACCATTAACTCTTCCTCATGGGAAGACAATTGTGTTCCTAAGAAGAGTTTAACAAATATAACACAATAATGCTCAAATAGTTATAGTAATTCCTTTTGCAATCATGTTTTGAAAACACAGTATGTCAAATTCACATAATCTTGTTATAGTCAAAAGTGATGATTTTTATATTCCAATTCACCTTTTGAGATGAGTTTTATTAAACAGATATATAGTTGATACCGTACTGCATTCAGATATATAATTGATACTGTTTAAACATCTCTAAACTTTTTCTATGAAATGTGTTTCTATATTGAGAAATATTTTTTTTTCTTTAAAACCTTACCATATTGACCAACTAGCTATCCAAGAAATACTTATTATGACAAGCTTGACCTTGGCTTATTTAAAAAAAATATTGTGAATAGTAAAAGAACTGTAGTTATAGTGGGGGAAGGAGAGAAATTTAGTTTTAGTCAATTGTTACTGTTATTTTGAAGTACGTGTTTATATTTCAGATATGGTACTATGGTTTGTAAATAATAATGAATTTTGGAAATGAACTTAAAACTTTTTTCTTCTGTTTCTTCCCCTCTTTCTTCTGTTATAATATTCTTTTAATCTAATTTTAAGAAAAGTTTCTTGGTGCTTTGTACTCATATTCTTTAAAACTCATATTGTTTAAAAAATTTTGCGGTCTACTACCCCCTCCAGCGCTGAACAGAGATACAAGCCGCGCCGCCAAGCCGGAGAGCGCCAGACCGGGTAGAGCTGCGCTGCGCTCGCCCTTCTCCAGCCCTCGCTCCCGGCAGGGGGCCCGAGAGCCTGAGCCTGGGGACCCCGGGGGCCCTTTCCAGCTGCGCGCCTAGAGCTCTGGACTTGGGGTGGGTGGTTTCAAAGAGCACCTCTTCCAGCGCGGAAATGGGAAGTGAGGGGGAGTCAAGGTCAGCGCTGCAGCTGCAAAATGGGGGCTAAGTGCTTCAGGGACTGAGCGCAGCCTCGGAGACGCCGGGGAGCGGCTCGCACCGCCTGGGCGCAGCGCGGGCGCAGACGAGTCCGAGGTGCCCGCCTTGCAAGCCGCTGCCAACGCCGCGCAGGCGAGGGCTGAGCACTCAGCTCGCAGCTCCCTCGGACCCTTCGCCGCCCCGCGCGGCCGCAGCCCCCGCTCGGCTCTCCTCGCAGCAGCCGGAGGAAAGTTCTCGCTGCCCGCCTCTGCTCCGCTGCAGTGCCGCGCCGCCCCGCACAGCGCGCCTCTCAGTCCAGAGAGGCGCTCGGGCGGCCCGATCTGGCCAGACCACCCGGTCGGCCCCGCCCCCATCCCGGCCGCGAATCGGCCGCCCCCGCCCCCTCGGCCCCGCCCCCACACCACAGCCCGAGCTCGCTCCTGCGCTTGCGCTCTCCCGGACCCGAGTGAATAGTCCTCGCGCCGGTGGGATACGGCGGTGAGTGCGTTTCCCCTCGCCTCCAGCCTCCAGGAGGTTCCCGGCGCCTCAGGCAGCTGCAGCTCCGAAGCGGCTGCCACCGCACCTGGGCAGTCTGGACCCTCGTGCCCTGTTCCCGGGGCCTCGCGCGGTGGGAGCCCCGGGACACCCCTGCGGGCCGGGTGGAAGAGGAGAAAGAAGAATAAGAGGAAGACGTGGACCAGGATCCCCAACCTCCCCACAACACCTGGCCTCTCCGCTTCCACTTCTTTCACACAAGGAGAGAGGAGCCAGCGAGAGCCATGGGGGGCTGCGAAGTCCGAGAATTTCTTTGGCAATTTGGATTCTTTTTGCCTCTGAGGACAGCTTGGCCGGGCTACTGTAGTCATGTCTCCAACAACCAAGGTAAGGGACAGGGTCAGAAGAGGGAGCGGGAGGAGGACGGTCCTTCGCGCGCTGGTGTACTCTCGGCCTGCTGCGGGCAACTTGTCTCGGGTCAGCTTCTCCAGGGCTCACCTTATATGTGTTCCTTGACCTAAACACTCAGTCTGCACTATCCGGGACGGCAGCCCTAGGAGCTATGATTCGTGTGTGCACAGATTTCTTTGAATGGGTGCATAAGCATCAGCGGCACGTGAGTCCCTTCACGGGCTAAAGGGCAGACAGACCCCTACCGCAGCCTCCGCCAGAGGTCAGACTCCGAGGCACACACTTAACGGAGATGCCTGCCTCTGGGCTGCTGCACGTAACTGGATAAGATGATAGATTCTCCTTGCTGTACCCTGGGGCGTTTGTCAGCCTGGTGCCTGAGTGTGGCTCCCTTGCCTGTTCTCACTCAGCCTTCCTTCCACTCTAGATCACAGAATGTAGATTGCTTTGAAATTATTCCTAGACCAGAGGCTCACAGATCTGTGTTGTATTTTCTGTTTTGTGAGAGAGGGAGGTAGGTAAATGTTGAGTGTGAATTTTCCAAGTTGTAAATATCCTAGTCAAAAAGGCAGACCACTGTCAGATTTTTAAGGACTTTGTTTCCTTGAGTAAAGTGGTGGAGTGCATGAGGGGAATGAAAAACACAAAATCTTAAAGAGTATTTTCTTTCCTTTTATTTACACAATCTTTATAAAACAATTGATTTGGATTTCTGTCATGGGTATTTGGATATTTAAAGATCTACAAAAACATCACCTCTATATTCTAAATCTCATTAAATTAGGTATGGAACAACCATAAAAAGTTTTGCAACCTGTACTTAGTTGGGTGCTCTCATTGCTATGATGACCACCCCTGTCTGTGAGGTTTTCTAAAGGCTTTAAATATAAACACCTGTGGTCAGTTAGAGCTGCCATTTAACATACAGCTCATGTGTTTCAGGGCCTTTAATTAATTTGCAGATGTAAAAGTGGAGGTCAGATTACTTGGGATTCTATACTGTAGTATTTATGGGAACAGGAGAAGATTGAGAGAGGGAAAGCGAAACAGTATAGATTTTTTTCGTGTCTGTATAACCATATCATTTTTTCTAATATTTTATGTAGAATTCAGAATTGCTGTTCATTTTTCACTTATGCAATTAGTATGTTTTTCTAATTATTATGCACCTGACAGAATGCACCTATAAATGCATGTGTGAATTTGGAAATCATTCATAACCCTTATGATTTTTAAAACATCCTATAAGATGATCATCGTAGTGTCACACTCCTATAATGCCGTATATGTTCATACCATGTCCCTTGTTTGTTTTCAAGGATAGTTGGTGTTCATAATCGAAGAGGTAGTTAAAGAAAATAGAGGATTATTAAAATAATGTAATTATTTTATTTTTTATGGGAGAAAGCAATTTTTAATACTTCAGACGTCTGACATTTAGATTATTAAGTTTTATATCACGAATGATAAAGTGCTGTATTGTTTGATAATCAAGTTTGCTAGAAGTTCTTAACAGTTATTCCCACGTAACAATTTTTCTAAATATTTAGTACCTGTGAAGCTTGAACAGCCACTCTAGGTACTGGATTTATTAATAGGAACACAACATACATGTGAGTCTCCACAAATGTCATTCCATCGAAATATTAAAGTATCACTTCTCAGGTAGTTATTTTGAATTTAAAAGCCAACTAATGCTATTTTTAACTTCTCAGATAATATTTATCTTTTAATGATTTCTCCATGTAATTTAATAATGTTTTACATAAAACAGATATCAAATATATAGTTTATTTTTATAAAGTAGCTGAAGTTCATGTTGAATGAATAGTGCACGACTTTTCATTACTTGAACCGAATTGTTAAATACTATATACTAAAGTTTGTAATTTGTATTAGCATACTGAAAACATAAGTTTTGCATAGGAGTACACTTGTATAAAAAATAACTAAAGGTTAAATTCTGATATTCGGGTTCTGCAAAACAAAACTGTAGAGAAAATATAATCATATATATTTTTTTTTGGTCTTTTTCGTTTTTTTTATCGGTACCAGGGATCGAACTCACGACTGCCTGCTTGCAAGGCAGGTGCTTATGACGCTGAGCTAAATCCCCAGCCCCAATATAATCATATTTTTATTTGTATATTTTTTGTTTGTCTTCATTTCTTGTTTGCACTACCCCCAGGGCCTTCACACTGAGCTATATACCCCCTGCATTATAAAAATAATGTTTCAAGTAAGGCCTCACTATAAAGTGCTTCTTACAACCTAAATTATAGTGGTTATAAATTGTGCCTGATAAGTGTAGTTAAGTGTTAAATACTGAAGACATCACATAAATGATTAAGTATCAACCTTTTAGTGTTATTCTCATGAACATTATAGGAATATTTTTAAATTTTCAATTTTATGAATACTTAAAATATCAATTTTTTGTACATCTGAAACATGGGGTATTATAAAATTTTATATATACAATGTTGAAAGATTAATGTCATGTTTAAGTTAAATTTCTTGCACAAAAATATCACTAATATTATTATTTTCAAAAGGACATTTTCCATGTTTCTACTAATGTTTACTTTTAAAATTTGTTTATGGTGGATAAAATTATGTTATGTGTCTCTTAAGAACTGTGACAGATTTTTAGTATTGTGTGTGTAGTTTTACCAAATTAAGTAAAATCATGGCAGAAAGAGTGTATTAGGCATCTTTACCCCTTTCCTCTAATTCCAGTTTTTATAATTGAGACAGGGTCAAATAAGACAATGAATAAAAAACTGAACTACTCGTTCTTTTAACATGATACTAAGAGTAATGTGACTATAGGAAGGATCTCTTATCTTCCAACTGACTGTAAAGCTGTGTGTTGTATAGTCAAAATAAATCAATTTTACTGTATTACCTGAACCTCCTTGAATCAATCAGAAAGTAATTTTTTTCATAGATCATTTTTCTAAGTGAAAGCATGTGTATTTATATTTCTTATTGCCTTAATTTTCCATATATTTAAAGACACAGTATTAATTAGGTGTCTAACTTATTTAAAACTCAGACTTTATCTCCTCAAAATCTAGAACATTTTATTTCTGTACTGAGTTCTGAGGTATATGAAATACAGTCTTGCTTCATGTGCAAGGCAACTATGAATATACATGTTATATTTGGTAGCCACCAGAGGTCCATTTATTAAAAAATTACTCTGCTTTAGCAAAAATATGTTTAACCCAGTTGATGCATCTCTCAGTGTGTACCCATGTTTATGAAGACAATTACTTTTTTTTTTTTTTTTTTTTTTGTCTTTTTGAGACAAGGTCTCGCTGTGCAGTTCAGGCTGGCCTTGAGCTTACTTTGTAGCCTGGGCTGGTCTCCAACTCACAGCAATCCTGCTGCCACAGCCTCCTGAGTGCTGGGATTACAGGCATGAGCTGCCATGCCCGGGATGAAGACAATTAATTACATGGGTAATTCATTAAGTCAAGATAGATTTTGAGTGCATGTCAAACTATATGTCAACAAATCCTAGCAAGTATCTTATTTGTACCCTTCACTCAGCATTTATTGGGGGTATAAACATGGTGGAGATTGATGTATATATTTCAGTAATCAAAATAGTTTGAATTGGTTCAGTGTACATTGTTAGTGATCAAATTCTACACCCACAGAAAGATTAAATTTCTTATGTATCTATAGCTATCTATTAAGCTTATGATTTCAATAGATGTCAATGTTTAAATAGACCTTGAATTGAAATTAAGTTGCATTTGCTCTTGCATTATTTTTTGATGAATGTAAAATTTAGGTAGAGAAAAGTGGTAATGCAGGCAGACATGTTTTGTATCATTATGGAGTACAAAAAGTAAATTAATAAACAATTATAATGGTTGTTTAAATTCTGTGGATGAGCAGTGACACCCCAAACCAGAATGGGAAAGTTGGAAATGCGTGTGCTTTGGGATGATATTTAGCCTCTTTGTTAGGGAAGAGAAAGAAATAAATCTGAGGAGTAGAAAGATGCACATTGAAAGTAGGAGAAACTCCCTGAGCAGTGGAGAAATGAGCTTGAGGTATTTGAAGAATTCTGTCCAGGATAAGTAGAATTTACCAAGCAAAGAGAGAGTTACAGAAAGAAAGATTTGAAAGATAATAATCAAATAATTCTATGAAGGGGAGGGAGAGAAAAAAAAACACTAAGGACTTAAGTATTATTCCAAGAAAATATGAGCTGGGAGATATCCATCAATGAGTAAAATGAGCCATTTTACATTTTAAGAACACTATGACTGGTAAGCAAAGAGATAATTGGGAAAGAGGAGGATGAAGAGTCCTCTGTAGTTAGGAGAGTAGTCATTGTGGCGGCCAGCAAAAATAGCAGATAGATCTACGCTATATTTATAGGTAGAATTTATGGGACTATATTGATTCTACAGTGAGACTTTGGTTCCCAAGAAAAGCACATGGCAAAATGTTATACATTTGCAAACTGTGCATCAGGTGACAAACACTATCATGACCATCTTTCCCATACAAACACAATGTGACCATCTTTTATAAAATCATAGAACAACATAAGTTCGTAAACCAAAGCACCACTATAAATGTAGATATTGAATATTCTTTGAATTTTGTTTTTAAGAAACTCAAATAAGTGTTCCATTACTTTAACCATATTATGTAATTTTTGACAATTGACCAGTGTGAAAAGAAATAAGGGAAGCATACCAATGTAACAAGTGTGGTGGGCTGCTCTCTCATTTTATTCAGTGTAGATTATCATTTAAAACATAGAATAGCAAAGTTTAGCTATTTCAAACAACATAAGAAACAAAGTCCACTTCTATTGGATCTGCAAGTACAATTTGTTGATATTTTCTGGCACCATGGGATTCATCATGTAGTTATTGTCAGAGTGAATGATTGCACAAGTAGACAGGGACATCTTTAGAAGATAGTTTAGCAGTCCAGTAGGGTGG